AACTTGTATGTGCATTTTCTTTGTTTGCGCTTTTGGAGTGTGCTTGTGTGTGTGTGCTGTGGAAATGTGACAATCTTGATTTAGGTCTTTATTAAGATTATGCATAGAATTAAATGGAACAACTTTCTTTGTTTGTGTGGATTTCATTCATTTACAACTTCCTATTTTTTTCCCCCCACTCTCACACTAGTTGGCCACCGCAGTAGTTTATTTCGGGTCATATGTCATTATCAGACACATATAATCCTCAGTACAGGAGAATAACCTGAGAATATTATAGAAGAGCCCTTGTCTAACACACAGCAGCAACAATCGGGCAGACAGTGTGTGTGTGGGCAGCATTGCAATGTGTACAGAGACAACAGAATGTGATAATACTGCTGGTCTTACAGGCCCCATCCCTCTGAAACCATAAACTGAGCTCAAGGACGGAGCAATTTCAAGACAGGCTCCCATTGTTCCTGACCTGTTGCCAATACTCTCCAAAGGAGATAAACCTGGGATAACAAAGCCAGTTGAATTTGTCATGTAATTATTACTTAAACACAACTTCATTAAATCGGCTTCAACAAACTTATCTACAAACACACACACATCTTTTTCTTCATAAACAAATATGTACTGAATGTGTGAGTGTGTCTAACTGAGGAACTTCATGCCAATTCACTAGACATTTTCAATGGCGAGAACTTTTAATTATTTCCCTGCTGCACCATGAAAGAAATCCAGCTGCTCTGCGACGTGATCCCAATGGGGATGTGCTCGGGTTCCCACCACCCTCCCCCCAATCCCAGCTCACCCATTCTGGGAACGCCATATAGACATGGGCCGCATCCAACTGCCCCTGCCCCCCATCTATCCTACCTCCACCCCCGCGGCCCCCCAAACCACGGCCCCAAACCTCGCCCTCATCCCACCACTCTATTGTGTGCGTGGGTAGTAGTTCAGCCAGGCTATTGTCTGGCCCAGCTCCCCAGCACGTACTTTATGCACAAACAGACGACACAGCGGCGCTAGCCAGGCAGCTACAACATAAAGAAAACAATGTCCTCCCAAGATCATTCATAAACACCCTGAACAGCCCCAGCCAGCTCACAGTAAATAAGGGCCCTCTGCAATGCCGTGGCCACCTCACACTGTAAACATCCACAGCAGCAGGCCTCAGAGCGCTCACTGGCACCAACACCTCACATCTGCCTAACAGGATCCAGGGCTTAGACTGCCTGGTGTGTGTGTGTGTGCATGTCTGTGTGTGTGTTTCCTATGGACCAAAACCTTCACATGGAAAGTAGGGGCCATGTGATAGGGCTTAGCTGCAGGGTGACGAGCTGGGATATGTGCAGTGTAACTCGATGGTGTAATAAAACATTCCTCTCCAAGGCTCAAAGCCTGGCTCATTTGGCTGTGAGTGATTTTGTGTGTGTGTGTGTGTGTGTGTGTGTGTGTGTGTGTGTGTGTGTGTGTGTGTGTGTGTGTGTGTGTGTGTGTGTGTGTGTGTGTTTGTGTGTGTGTGTGCTTAGAGGTACTTGAGAGAAGTTGAGAGGAAAGTTGTAAGTGTCCACCACCTCAACAAGGCCAGCGGTGGGAGCCCTTGACCTCTGAAGGGACGGACTGCCAGGGACAGCTGGTGTGGCCTGTGTTTATTTATTTATTTCTTAACAAAAGACAGGTGGTCACACTTGAAAAGGGCACACAAACACAGTCACACATGCGCTTGTGTACAGACAATACACACACACACACACACACACACACACACACACACACACACACACACACACACACACACACACACACACACACACACACACGGGTAGTTTTCTTTTTCTCTCTCCATATTAACACACATGCATATAGTTATCATCCACTTAATTTTAGAGGAGCCATTCTTTTGACTTTCAGAAAATCGCACTGCTCCCAAGAATAAACAATAATAATTTAATTCCCAATGAATAATCTAATAGTCTGGTGTGAAACCAAAAAAAAATCTCAACAAGTGACCATTATTGCCAGCTTGAAAGCCATACATCTGAAGCAGCGTTTAAGTTCTTCATCACAACCTGCAAAACCAAATCTGTGCAGTGCGAGGCAGATATCAATCGCTACAAGTGCATAAATACATATCAACTAGTGCTCTCATACTGGGTTTGCCTTTTTTGGAGTGGCTCGCCCTGACAGTGCCAAGACAGTGTGTCCTTGGTCCACTGTACAGCTGTCACTTACTCACACTCGTTGACGCATATTTATAGCAGCAGCATCACTGGGCTTGACGCTCGCCACACTCAGACCACAGCTGGTCCCCAAAAGAATGGGTGAAAGACAAAGCCACGTGCTCCCGCTGGCCGACTGCAGTTGGTCCTGTCTGGAGCGCTGTGGGTGATTATGTGGCCCCCGTCCTCCTCGCAGACACCCAGCCATACATGTACCAGGGAAAAGATGAGGGCCATTCGTGGGGTGGGGTGGGGTGGATGGGGGTTGAGAAAAAGTACACTGTGACCTTTTTTTTTTCTTTCTTTTTTTCTTTTGGGTGTCATGGATGGGGGTGTGCTGAAAACCATGGCAGCTGCATTCTCTTGTTTTGGGGGTACATAAACACAAACACATCACATCATTATCATCATTATTAACAGAGAGCAGAGGGGGAGAAGAGGCTAAGCATCAGCATCCTTCCCTCTACTGAGCCCACAATCAATATAGTAAAGATTTTGGACGACAGACAGGATTGTCCCATATCTAGTCTAATTACCTCCGCCAAGGAGGTTACGTTTTCACCCGCGTCTGTTCATTTGTCAGCAGGATTACACAAAAAGTAATGAGCTGATTTGCACTGAACTTGGTGGAGGGATGGAGCATGAACCAGGGAAGAAACCATTACATTTTGCAGCAGATCCAGATCATATACTAGGAATTAGAATTTCTTTCTCTGAAGTCTGGTGCATGTTGTTTGACACTGCCTTGGCAGAGGTACACGCTTTCTTAGTGTCCTTTTAGTTGAAAATGTTTTTTACTCATAATTTTTCATCAAGCATCAAGACAGTGGAGACACATCACCACCAATATTAGCTGCTTTAAGTATTGAGGCAATAGCCTTGGGTCGATTGCTCAAGCTGAAGGACCAGTGGTGAAAGGGGATATGATTCATAAGATTGTATTCTTTGCAGACAACACTCTTTTCTCTACTGTCATGCATTATATTATCCCTTTTTTCCAAAGAACACTAAATCCAGGACTGATGCAATGATGGATCACAGGAAACTGTCTGAAACAACTGGACAATGAAGCGATTTTTTTTTTTATGGTGCAAACAGAACTTCACATATTTCTCACAATGTTATTTAGATAATTAAAAAGACTCTTCTGTCAAACTCACTCATAGGTTGAAAAGCACATGGAGGATGCTCCGCTTGACATTGCAGAAAATACTGAAGACTAGGATCAAGTTTCTTTAACGGTACACGTGCACATTTATATTTCAAAAACGAAGGACCAAAAATAAAGACAAATACCATTAAATATGATGGAACTTCTGTATCTAATGGAGCTTTTGTTCTAATAATCCACTGAGGCTGCACATCCCTAATATTTTCATTATCAGTTTATCTGTTGATTATCTTTAAAATTAGATTAGTTTAAAAAATAGCACAAATAATAAAAATGCCCATCACAAGTTCTACGAGCCTCAGGTGACATCTCCAAATATCTTGTTTTGTTTCGCCCAATAGTTCAAAACCCAGAGATATTCAGTTTATAATGATTATAAACTGTGAAAATTCATAAATTCTGATATTTGAGAGGCAAGAAATAGCAAATATCTGGCATTTAATCAATAAATGATTTTTTTCCAGTAAATCTGTTCCAAATTCATTTTCTGTCGATCAACAAACTTCTGTCGATCAACAAACTCTATTTGCTCATTATCAATCCACCAGATTTATAGCTATGAACATCTATACAGGATTTCATAAGTGAAAGAATAATTGAAGCAAAAATAGTACTGAAAACATAAATGTCTCCCTTCCAAGTGTTTCATGTTCACCTCTTGAGTTCCTTAAAGCCTTATCAAGAAATGTGCAGACAACTTGACGCCTTGCTCGCCAGCAGCTGTCTGTTCACTCAGCCAGAAATCAAGTGGTGCCCTCGGACACCAACTGCAGAGCTCCCCAAAGACCGGAGCCACAACTGGCCCACTGAGCAGGGGATGTGACTCAACAGCTCATAGGCACATTTGCAATAAGCTCCAGGAAGTGCACTCATCCAAGTTAATATCTCTAACACCATGCCATGTGATTGATTTCTATAAAGCAGCGCTGAGGACTTCTGCCACCAAGAACAATTACTCACAGTGTACAATACCTGACCCTGAAACCAGTCATCATCAATGACGAGCTGCAGCCAAGAGAAGGTGAAGACTACATCTCAAGGTCATGTCCAGCAGGGATAATTGTTGCCAAAATGTCTAATGCAAAAGCCCATGGTTCTGTTCAAACCTCTGGGTCGTCTTGTTTTAATAAATAAATTTGATAGCAGATTCTCAAGGTCAGCGCAGAGTGGCTGCATTGGAATTTCATTATCATTGCCAAGCTGAGACAAAACTTTCATACTTCAACTCAAAGGTTGAGAAAGTGCCTCTTTAGCATAGTGAGATAAATTCATTCATCCACTGAGAAAATAGGGTTTGTGTATTACCCTGAATGTGGCGCAGTCAGCGAGGAACTCAGAACCTAAGCTGAGTCCTTGAAGTGTGCTGCCATCTGCTGATGCAGCGACAACAAATGAAAACCGCTCTGTAACCTTCTAGGCAATTGATAGATTCAAATTTTGTTCAGACATCTTGTTTTTAAGTTGTGTAATAGTTAATGATTACAGTACTGTGCCCCTTGTGAAGTGAACATATAAATGACCACGTCAAAACATTTAACGGAGTACAAAAATCATTCAAGTTTATTTCAGTTACTTTTGAAATACATATATACAAGAATACATTTGGATCACATAAAAAAAAAAAAAAAAGTCAAAAAAAAAAATCACTGGTATAAAATGCAGTCTTAGTAATATCTCATGTGAGGCAACTACATACACAGTATGTTCAAGCTTAAACTCATGATCCCTCCTGGTCCTCCTTTACACTGAGCAACTGCAGCAGAGTACCTCATCATATCGCCCACTGTAACTGTAGAAAAAAGAAAATATTTATTATATCAACTGTACAGACCCTTTACCGTTTAAAATGATTTCACACAAACTGAGTTTAGGTTTTAGTGTCTTGCTCAATGGTACTTGGACATGTGGATAGAAGGAGCTGATAGAGCTACTGGTGCAAAACATGTACAAAAGGAAATCAATTTGAAAACATTGTGCACAAATGCAAAACTTGAAATGATAATATACTGAAACTATGCTTTAATGTAGCTGTTCTATTGGGGCCCCAAGAAATAGTACTTACAAGGTAGCTTCAGTCTAAACTCTTCATCTTTTAGGCATCGATGACTCTGCAGGCTTGAAAGATGAGTTTGCCTCTTCATACTCAAAAGATGAACACGCAGCTATGTTGCTTTCCTGCTTCCTTCTGCTTTTTGTTCTCTGAAATTCACTTTTAGAACCCTGCAACTTACTGGCACTCCAGCCAAAGCTTATAAGAAACCAACAAGGTTCAGGGTTGAGTGGGTTCATGGTTTTGTCCTGTCTATTGATTTTTTTTTTTTTTTTTTTTTTTTTTTTTTTTAAAGTGACTAATTTACTTCATGTCAAATACAATAAAACTATGGGACTTTTTTTGGTCCAGTAACATTGATGAACAACAAATACCTGCAGTACTGCAGTCCAGAATATATGTACCCACAGTACATAGTACAAGCACAAGAGAAATGCCTTTCACAGAACAGATGAAGAACAGCTTGTGTTGTATAAACACGTCTTTAATGCCAAAGAGAGTGCTTTTCCAACTGACACCTAATTAACCTCAGCATGCACAGTCTTTCTGTTTAGAGGAATCTAATGATACCTTGAAGCTGAGTTAGTTTGAAAAAAAAAAACAAAAACAAAAAACACTGGGGATGCACTGCAATGTTTATAAGGCCAATATTTTCCTGCCTGCATTAGCCGACAGATCATTTTAATGAGACATGAGACAAATGAATGTGCAGAAGAGGTGAAGCTTTGCAGACATGCCTAATTTTTTTAAATGTAAATTCTAAAGCTAATTTTGACCGTTGTATTGATATAGATACTGATTTTAGTTCCATCAATGTTGAGGAGCTTTGGGAAATGGAGTGGGAAAAGCAATAAAAATGTGACTTACTCTATGATGGTGCAGACAGAGCAGCAGTGGCTGGAGCAGCTTGAGCACTGACGAGTACAGGAGGAACACGCTGGACGGTCACATTGGGAGCATAGTGTCCTGGACCCCTGGCTCTTTTGACACACACAGCAGCCTGCAGGAGCCACTGGTGCACCTAGACGCAAAGCACACATCCTTATAGCACACTGGATGAGCATTTGGCAAAGCACTTCAGTTGAAAAAGTAACCAAACTGACCATTAAAAACTTGTGACAACCCTGACATCTGCTGGTGAAAATCATAAACTGAACTAACCTCTTGCTTTTGGCCTTGGAGCACAGTCACTTATTATATTCTAGCCTTTACCCATTTTGAGAAGCTGCTCTAATTTCAGAAGAAGTTTGTGTTTCCTATGAATTACTTTAGGAGGGATGTCCTCAATGCTCAGTATAGACAAGAGGAACCATTACAGCAACCAATAACTGTACACATGTGCATCTGGCCACATGAGTATTCTATTAAGAGACATAAAAAATGTGAATTTACCCATTAATCATTAGTAAATACATGAGACTTGATCAAGGAAAAAGTTTGTCATTGTTAGCAACTGTAATCTCAAGTTCCATGAGATGTGTGAAATGTAAAATGTATAATTTGTCCACTTTGTCAGTTGTTTGTGGGCAAGTACAACCTTTACTTGACATGGTTCATAAATTAGATTCACAAGGTTGTACGTTCCTGAGGACATGCACTCCTTTTGGTCTTTGTGAGGTTTTACTGGGGAGTGTGCCTCTGGTACTCCAAAGGATCCACTTTCATAGTTTCTGTCAGCATGTTTCAGAACGCCCTGCTGCTACTTTGGGATGCAGCTCATAACACTTAGATTTCAAGCTCAGTCACCTCACTAATGTACTTCCATCAGTAGATGTCACTGTTTTCACATATTTGGACTTTGTTTAGTGTCAGTCTCTCCTTTAGTGTGAGTCCCACTGAGTTTTTTTTTCCCCATTTCAGTGACTGCATTCTGCCCTATTATAGTTTTTCCACAGCATGGTACCAACTCAACTCACTGCTGGTATCAGGTACTTATTATATTCCTGCAGATAGTACCCTCTCAATGGAGTGTTGTTACTGAAGTGGAGACACACAAAGCTATTGTCATCTTCAACATGACACACACGACCAATGGAGGCCATCTAAGGGAGACCAAACATTGATCAAGGTATGCTTTTACAGGTTGCCCTACTACAAGCATAGCACAATAACTAACAGAAATGTGACAGGCTACAATAAGTGGAGTGCAGTCGCTTTGTTTAAAAATGTTTGTTCAGAATGTCCCATCTTGCACAGTGATAACACAGTAGTGATGATTCTCCCTGACCAAACAGTGGTCTTCGGTGTTTTCACATCACCTTTTAGTATCACCTCAGTTCGCTTGGTGGAGGTGATACCAAAACAAGTGTCAGGTACCTGGTACTATCCACAACTCAGAAAACTACAACAAGGCAAGTAGAGTTGAGTTGTGCTGAACTGGTGCCATGCAGCGGACAAGAGCTAATATATTGTGGACCCTGGCAGGCTACTGTCTTTGTTTGTTGAAGCAGTCTCTTGCAGTGTAACTAGTAGATTATAAATTCGATGATGTTGTTTTGTTTGACACAACAGAAATGATTTTCCATGCTGTCGTTCAGTGTTGCCGTTTCTGGACTGTGTCTGTAGCCATCCTTTCACTTCGGGCTCACCTGGAGTGGCATTTGCTCTCGTCAGTCTCCCATCATGTCCAATCAGTGTCTGTCCTCTCAGCAGTGTCTGGCTGCATGCAGGTGTCTCAGCTTGTCCAGGTAGCCGCGGGTCTGTGCACTTCTCCTCTCCCGTCCATATTTTGCCCATCACAGCCTTGGCACCGGTAAAGAGCAAGTTCTTTGTCTTTTCTGTGAGGAAAAAAAGACCCACTTGTGAGTGAAATTCCATGTGACTAACTCAGCTGCAGCTGACCGCCCAGGGGCTCCAAGGAAGCTCTTGTTTACGGCACATTAAAGCCAGTCTGACTGTACTGTAGTCTTACTGAGTTAGTTCAGAGGCCATTTGGCAGTAATGGCAAATAGACCGTGAATATCTTGTTCGACAGTTGATGTATTTCAGACTTTAAAAGTTAAAAGGCCAAACTAATGAGGACATGAATTGTACATGACTAGACGTTTCATGAACACGAACAAATGTACCAAAACTGAACAATACAACTGTTTAAAGGATGTATTTAGGAAATTTGTATCCAACGGTCGCTTCTCAGGAAACGCTAACAAACATTTGTCTGCACTGACGCAGCTGACATTACAACGCAGCGCTACATCCGCTAACAGGTACTTACCGTAGACTTCTTGCCTGTATTTGTTCCCAAACATGCCGTAACTATTCAACTCTTGTTGCCCGACATGTATCTTGTATTGAGAGGAGAAAGTTTCTGGAAAAGGACAGGCTCTTTTCGGCATTTTAGCAGCTAAAAAGGTCCAGCCGCGAACCCACAGGCTTCCACACTTGTTTGTTGCGGGAAAAAAAAGCAAGAGAGGCAACAAGGAGCCAATCACACACATTCTTTATTGTCACGTGAAAGCTCAGAGCCAATCTGACAACTGCTCTGCTGTCACGTGATGTTTGGCCCGCCATAAAACTTCGCTCACATTATGCTGCCTTCACGGGCTGTGGTGAAAATTATATTTTCTAATTTTCAATTTCAGCATTCAATAGCTGGTAGAAGGAAAAGTGTACATTTTCTCATCATATTGATTTTGATTAAATTTTTTTCTTATGATTTAAATTACTTACAGTAAAGATAAATACAGTCACAATACACACAAAGCCAACAGTGGATGCTTTATGGACTATTGGATCAACTGATCATGTTTACTTTACAGACGAGCTGAGCTACAGAAATCAAAACAGTGATTAATGACGTGCAGAGTGACCACCATGGATTTATTAACTTTTATTTGAAAACATTTGTGCTGGTTTAATTGGTGACATGGTTACAAATTGACGCTTGTGGTATAATTAAATCTAATAATTGTATTAATAAAAGTACAAGAGTTTTTTTGGCTGCAACAAAACAAACATAACCAACCCTGCTAGATGTTTTGTTTATTAACTAATGAAAAGGAGATAATTTTAGGTGATGAAAAGATGCCACTCATGCCACATTGTCTGTGCGTCCATCAAAGGGAGGTGAAGGTTTCCCTTTAGAACATCTGGATCATGCACTCTCTGGACTTTCCAACACCAACCCACTTGACTAAAGAGAGAGAGAAAGAAACAGAGAAAGATTAGAAAAGTGGACAAAACTGTACAACTCATAACTAAGGCTATTTCTGATAAGTGAAATAGTACCACCTAATGGATATCATGCAATGTCTGCATTACTGTTTATTTTGGTTTGGAGGCATTCAGGGCTGACAACAGTTTTCAGGATTCTTTTGCATTTGTTGGTGTTGATGGTTATTTTGCGTGAAACATACTGGGAACTCCAATGTGGTTCTCAATGAAGCGGATGTAGTTTTGTGCCTTGGCTGGGAGGTCGTTCCACTTCCTGGCTGCAGATGTGTCCGTCTTCCAACCAGGGAAGGTCTCATATTCAACTTCCACTTTTTGCAAAACGTCCATGTTGGCTATGATTAATAGAAATCAATTATTAACAATCTTCAAATCAATGTTGGGTCTTGACAGCCACTCCCACTCAAAAGTGAACAAATCAGGTATATGGTCTTGTGAGTCTTTTTCTGCATGTGGTTTCTTCTTTTAAATTACCTGGGAAATGGGGAATTCTTTTTCCATTGAGTTTATACGCGACTCCCACTTTAATTTCATCCAGCACATCCAGAATGTCAAGTTTTGTCAATGCAATGCTGCAAGGAAAGTACCATATCATTGGTGAGTTGCATAATATGTGCTGTTTCTCATTTTATGGTGGTGCAGGAAAAAAAAAGCTTGTAGGGTAAATGTGATTCAGTATAAAAAAACATAACCACAAAACACCTAATGATTTTCTTAAAGTGCGCTAGCCACTCACGCTGTGAAGCCATTGATCATATGAGCGTATCTGACGATGACAAGATCCAACCAGCCGCAACGTCGCTTCCTTCCTGTGGTTACACCCACCTCATGACCTCTCGTCTGCAGCAGCTCTCCTACTGCCTGAAAACCGAAAAAACATCCTTACCTGTTTGTTTATCATTCATGAACTTAAAACGATGTAAGGCATTTAATAAATCCTACAGGAAACTAAAAATAAACAATCACTAATTATGGAAAGAGTTAAGTACAATAAAACACATTGGCTGGGAGATAAATGTCTATGTCCCTATGGTCAGTTCCTGTGACAAGTAACATAACCCCTGCACACACAGTAAATATATCCTGAACCCGGGCTCTGGCCCTAAATTTATCCCTGTGAACATGTGACCTGCATAAGAGGTAAAGAGTGTTTGAGCCCGTCTCTCACAAAATTTGACAGCTGCACTCGGCCAGCAAACACAAACCCTCCCCTCTCCTCCGCCGGCCCTGCTGTCTGTGTGTCAGCTTCATTATCACAAACAAACTGTACGTGTCAAACTCAGTGTCAGCGAGTTATATAACAAGCCTTGTGTCTCTCCTTCCACCACCAGTGAAGCAAAGAAGTCATGTGACAACATGTGGCTTGCACGCTTTAATACTCCCAGTAATTTACTCAAGTAACATCTAGCACTTACATTGAGTTGTTCTGTGGGGAACGCTCCGATTCCTACCCTCGTGGTGTAGGCCTTTGCTACACCAAACACATCACCAATATTCAGAGGAGGGATGCCGAGACCTGTGCATGCCCCGCCCACAGTGCAGTTTGATGATGTCACAAAAGGATAAGTGCCTAAAGAGAAAAATTTAATGTTATCATAGCACAGACTCCTTCCCAGATCCACAAAAGCACGTGCATGTTTCGAAAAAGTCACAAATAAAATTATATCCAAAACCGTTTTGTTGATGCTGACCCTACCAAAGTCAATGTCAAGCAGAGCAGCATTGGCCCCTTCAACCAGAATTTTCTTTGGAGATCCATGAAGAGCTTCGTACATGTAATAGACCCCGTCTCTCACCATCGGCCGCAATCTCTCAGCGTATTCCTGCACGAAACACGAAAGCAGAGATTTTTTTCTGTTTTGTTGTTGGAGGAACAATGATGATAAATCATCCCTCAATTATCAGTCTCTACCTTGAGTTTTTTCAGTTGGTCATCGACGTCAACCGTCAAGGCTGGATACATGGACTGGTACTGGTGGACAAGGTTCTTGAATCTGGAAGACAAGGAAGTCATGAACCCTGTCACAACCCTGCATGGCATTAGTTTAACCTTATTTGCCATTTTCCTCTCATTCCTACCTGGTAGAGAAGTCCTTAAAGTCGCCCAGGAGGTCACATACACGTAGGCCAGTGCGAGATGCTTTGCTAGAATATGCAGGTCCAATGCCCTTCTTGGTTGTTCCAATGCTGTCATTATAAAACAGGGGGATTACTGTAGATTTGTAATTTTTTGTGAATTTCTTATCTTTTGGCAAAATTGTGGACGATCTGGCTCATTCTGAACCCTCTACCGCTATCGCTGCCTTCCCTACTCTTACTTCTTTCCTTCTTGTGCTTGTCTTTCAGTTTCCTGTAAGCCATCGACAACCTGGTGGAAATCAAACACTGCAGAGAGACAGCAAACAAATCAATAAAACCAAACCTTCGCACACTTGAAAGTATCTGATTTATACAGCCTGTGCATATTTGAATTAAGCAAACCTCTATAAACAAGTGCATAAACTGTACATACCAAGGTGAGCTCTGTCAGAGACAATGAGTCTCTTCTCCCAGCCTTTCAGACCTGGTGAGAGAACAGAAATCACATCTATGTGAATGCGCACTAATCTAAGGTTACATTAGTGCATTACATGTAAAGTGTATTATTTCCTTAAAATACCTTTCTTGTCATTTTTGTCGCCTTCCTCAAACAGGCCAGGTAGATGTATGACCACTCCGTTACCTACAAGAGCAAAGGAAGAGTTGACAGTAGACTAAGAGTAATACTTTTATGATGTTCTCTCTATAAAGACTAAAGATTGAAGCCTTTACCAATGAGTGATATGCTTTTGGGGTTGATGATTCCACTTGGGAGGAGGTGGAAGTCGTACTCCTTGCCATCCACTACCACCGTGTGTCCTGCGTTGTTGCCTCCCTGTAAACCAAAGCAGTGCACACACTATGACCATCTGGTACAGTCAGTGTTTTGGTGACAATATAACCAAATACAGCATGATGTTAACACCCAGGACCACCTGAGTGGATTCAGCCACATGCACATGTCTCGTCTTATTTTCGTGAGACGGTGATAAGCCACCCTCTTCCCAATTCACCAAGCTTTTCCAGCACCTATTTTAACAGACTTAGCTGGCGCTGGTGGACCCTCCACTCTAAGACCTGGCCTTCTCACGTATCAAGCCACCCTGAGAATGTGACCTCGCTCCAACCCGGTGGGTGGGGCTCTCAAGCCTCCAGAACACAGGGTGCCAGTCCTGTCAGTACAGAGTAAGTACAACACAGCAACTGTTGGCAGGTTTCACTGAGTGTTCGTCCCCATGCTGGAGTGACCTCTGATTTCTGACCCGAGTGTTATGTTTCTGTTGCAAGTGGGCGGACCCTGAACTGTCTGGGGTTGTTTTTATTGTTAATTTAATGCATCTCGAATTAAATTTTGTGATCAGGCAGGCAGAGCAACTTTACAGCAGCTTCAGAAGTTTGCATGAGAATTAACAGAGAATTCAAGCTTGCCAGTTGTACTTGTTAACACTAAAACTATGCAAAAAAGTATCTGCAAAACGTTTTCAAATGTGGATTGAATGACAGTTCATCTAATCCATCATTTGAATCAACGGACAATATGGTTTATAGAAATAGTCAAAAAGGTTTCCAAGCTAATAGGGCCGCACATGCAAGTTTGTTTTCTCAAGTTTTTTTCACTCTGGGCACCTGTTGCTCTCCACCAGGCCGCCACTACACTGATAGCTTCCACTGTAAAGGTTATGAATTCATATGTAAAAAAAAAAAAAGAAAATGAAAAAGGCATTCAGCATTAATCCAAGGACACGCCCCTGTGGACGGTTGGCTGAAATCGACGAATCCCAACATTTACCTGACACCTGCAGACAACGTCAGCCTCGGTCGCCAATAAGTCCACGACTTTTCCTTTGCCCTCATCTCCCCACTGCGCGCCGAGCACCACCGTCACTTTGTTCCCCACGTCGTTGCGCGATCGCTTCTGCCCGGTCGCGGCGGGTTGATTCGTGTTTTTGTGGTCTTTCGCCGACCAGGTTAGCGACATGATGGTGGTGGCTCTAGTCTGTCCGCCTCAAGAAGACTAAACCGTCTCCAAGAGTGGCATTGCCATATCTGTAACTTCATAGCCGATGATGTCAGAGCCAGACGCGCTCACACACACAGACACACACAAATACACACAGATACACACACACGCGCGCGCGCAGGAGTGCGTTGCTGTGCTCGGGCTGGTTGTCTCTAAGGCTGCGGAGAATACAGGCGTCACACAACAGTAACCGGGTTGCATGAGTGTATACACCTATTAAAAAGCCTGTTGTAACTTTCACAGTGTGTAGCCTGCACAATAAGGCTTTTCTAATTTAATTTGTTGCCCCATTACCGCCATCTCTCTGAACAGGTTGATAAGAACAACTGAACAGTAAATTTACTTTTATTAAAATTGACTTAACATTAAAAGTTACAATCCATTATATGCTGTCCTTATATTTCCTGTTAGAGATTATTTGAATAATATATAAAGAAATTAAGACATTATTCAAAGCAACTTCAATATTAGATGTGTTACATTAAATATCTTGCACCAAACACTGCATCTTCCTTTCCAAAGGTGCTGAAAGGTAAATAAAGCTTAAAACACATCCAATGCATATTACAACAATTATACAAAAAAAAAACAAACATACAAAGCATATTCTCTACTTTTTTGAACAGTTCTGAATCAAAAGCACTCATATACACAAAGACTACAATTCATTTACATAAAGTGACATGTTTACATCCATGCTGTGAAGGTCCCAGCCTTTTAGATGCTTTACCTCTTCTTGGTCTGGAAAAACAAATCATTGCAAAAGGAAGACTTCTGCATCCTCCTGAAGGAGTCAATATTCATGTAGTCTCACAAAATAAAATACACTGTAGTCCTTCCAGTTCAGAACACCTCTGTGAAGTTAAGATTTTCTTTTTCCTCTTGATCTCCTTTTTCGGTCACCTAGGGAAACAAAGGCTAAAATGAATGGATAGAATCAAAATATATGAAAATAAAATACTTTAATATCTTTAAAATCATTATATTTAGAGCTAGATATAAAACTCAAAGGCAGAGAAATTTATTCACACGATACTTTGGCGTGCAAACATGACTACATCTGCTTTAAATTGTTCTTTTTAGATATAAAAACATTTTTAATACATTTACAGCACATGTATCTTTCATCAAAGTCAGATTATTAAAGCACACTTCACAGGAAGCACACAAGTGTGTTGTTAAACGATTAAAAAAACAAAAAACAGGCCCAGTTGCAGATTTAGGGAATGGACAAGAAAATATGGAAGGAGGAGACACAAAAGTGACAGCTTTCATGAGATAACTCAGTCCACGATGACTTCACGATGACGTCACAAACTGCAAGGCTGCTTGAGAACAGAACACTGATGTTAACTGTACCCATTAAATGCTCTACATAGTAGTATTTTTAGAGTATTTGTCCCCAGGTTGAATAGACATTAGAATCACCTTGAGACACGTGCATTAGGGCAAATACTGTTAAGACTTTTTGGCTTGACAACCATTGAGTTAAAGGGTTAAAAAAGGGGAGCGAGTGTTAAAAAGCTGGACAACACAGACATATGACATCTAGATCCCAGTTAGATCAACAAATGAAGTGTTATTTGAGACAAAGCTTCGACGGTGATTGAGTTCATTAGGATGATGGTCCTGCTTACAGTTTGCCATCCCACCGATTTGACCTACCTCACTGCAACACACAGCCTTTTTTATGTTTAGTGTGTCCTTTCCCACTGTTACCTTGTGTGTCAGAGAGTCAAAACGGAAGAACAGAGCATTCAAACAAAACTGACCATAGATTTCAGTCCATTCAGTATTAAAATCTGCAAATCAAGTGCTACACACTGCAACCATACTCTTTAATAAAATGCATGTAATCATGCAAATCACTTTAGGAACGTATACTAAAATAGCCCATATATAAAATATAAAACGCAAAATGCAGTAAAAACAAAACAAATAAGGATTTCCCTTTAAGACACGTCAAGAGGCTAGCATTCCAAACATGGTGTTTATTGAAGTTGATGAATAGATTACCTTGGTTACTCTTCTTTTTGTTTCGTTTAAAGAGGCTCTGCTGTTTCTTTGGTTCAGGCTTTAGGGATGGAGGCATTGCTTCAGATACTGATGGCAGATCCTCTGGTTCCTGTCCATCCGGGACGTCACACCCCTCAATGTCCTCACTGAGAGCGGTGACATTGCTTTTAGGGTCCGAATACTTGTGACTCACAACCTCATCTCGGGTGTGCGTTTTTGTACTAATGGATTCTCGCTCTTCTCCGCCCTTCTCTCGTCCTACAGTCTCTGTTAAATGGGTTATTTTATTACTAGTTTTACCTTTCCCATCTCCCATTATATTGCTTTCACTACTCTGTGTCACATTCATGTCCGTCTTAGGTAAAGGACACTCCTTGATCTGAACATTCACACTAATGTCTGCTGGTTGCTCATGGTTCAGCTTCTCAGGTACCAGGCTGGAAGTGCTGTCTAACACAGCATCTAAAAGGTCCGAATCTGAGAGCGAGGATGGACTGAGGACGCTGGTCTCAGTTGAATCTAATGAGAAGCCGTTTGTGGTGAGAGATGGTTGCTGTTTCCCTTCAACCTGAGGCAGAGGTCGTGTCATATCTAGGGATGGGTTCTCCGGGTGTTGACCCTTCTGCAGCGACACAGGTCTTTCCAGGGGTGCCTGTGTCGTCACAGCTGGCTCCCCTAGGAGTGTGTTGGGAGGTGGAGCTGGTCTGTCTGGCGCGGCACTCTGCGGCGCTGGTGGAGTCTCTTCTGATGGGCTGATGAAACCGTTCACCTCGCCTGTGCTGGCCTGGTGACCCTCTGTCTGAGATTTGGTGGGAGCGGAAATGGTGGCTATTTCTGCGGCTTCTTCGTCGGCAGGCTTCACACTTGATCCTGAGGGGGAGAAGCAGATAGTAGAGGCGTGGAAGGCATACATTAAGACAATTACTATTTTTGAAATGGTATGGTGTTTTTGGAGTGAGCCGGAATGCATGACAGTAAAAGGCTCTGCATGAAAACGAAGGCTAAGGTCGCTCGACAAAGCAGCAAAGCGATGGAGCCAAAATAGCGAGATGCGGTTGGTGTTAAAGCACATATAAAAACAAGCCCTAGATAAAGCAGCAAGGCTGTTTTGTGGCTCGCAGTTAAGTGGCTCAGGAGCGGAGCTGGGAACTGCGGATGGGGGCCACAGCCTCTTGTCCTTACCAGGTGGGCAGGTATCGCTACGCATTTCACTAGAAGGGAGGCTTTCCGAATCGCACCTTGGCCTGGTCTTTCTTAGGCTGAAACCTTTCCTGATATCTGCCAGGAGGTGGTCGATGATGCAGCCGTCGTTCGGCGGCAAGACGCCTTTCCTAACTGGAAAAAGAGGTGTAAAAATTCAAACCCAAACTCTATTGCTATTCAAATGTCATCTTGGTGAGAGATTTCTACTGCAGTGAAAGAAACTAAGGTCGTTCTCTCTCTTACTTATTTTTCCATTCTCTCCCTTCTGTCTCTTGGACTCTTCCTCTGCCAGCTGCTGCTTTCTCTTCTCAGCCTTGGCCGCCTGCTCTTTTCTGGTTTTGTTTTCCTGTTATCATGAAAGAAAGGATGTCACTCACTGCCAAGTACAAAATGTACATAGCAATCTGTCTTTGTAGCATTTGGGGCAGAGACATATTAACATTTTCAAGTTTCTCACAGTATAACGATACCCACGATCCAAAGACAACAGCACCCCCATACACAAGAGGATGGGGTGTAACAGCAACAAAGTATCTCCCCTGACCTTCAGTGCCTTGATGAAAAGTTCTCGAAAAGTCCTCATGGTTCCAAAGAGTTCCTCAAGCGACAGCTGGTTCGCATCCTCGCATAAGTAGACAGCCAGCTCACTCTTCTGCTTATTGATCTCAGTGAACCTTTCACTTAAAGCTTGACATGCCTCTCGACTTCCCTGGAACAACGAAAAAGGGGAAAAACGAGGCATTTGGGATGTTTATCCAGTTGCCCAAAACATTTTCAACTTTTTTTTTTTAGATTCTATTTGTAGAGAAAGCACAGATCATCATCTTACATCTAGAACTTTTGCGTATTGCTCCTTCACCTCCTCCACGGAGTTGGACACCTTCTTGGCGGTCTCATTCAGTCGTTTCAGTAAGGCATTGGCTTCTGACTGAACAGAGTCCAGATTAACTCTGAGGACAAAGTGTAAAACCTCTTGTTACGTGTCTGTTAAAAAGGTCATGGAGAACATGAGCTGGAGTACACGTGAAAGGTTTCTGTACCCTGCTGCTTTTTGACAGATCTCGATATCGTCTGGCAGCGCCAACAGCTCCGGGTGGTTTGCCTCTGCTTCCTTTGGAAAATAAGCCACACAGTGGAGTAATTAAACAGGTTATTGGCTGAGACAGGGGGGGCCAGTTACGGCAGCTGTGAACCAGTTTGTGTACCTCCAAGATGTGATGAAGAAGCGTTATGCGGCTCTTGTTGGCCTTGGTCTCTGTGAGCTTGAGCAGAGAGCTGATCTTGAACCCCTCTGCGTTCCCTGTGTGACTTCCCTGGAAGTAGACCGATGATTAAACATGCAAGCTCTGTCTAAATGTCAGATCGGGTAAAATATAAATGAGAGGATGCGGTTCTTACATAGTTGAGGAAATTTCCAACGTTAAGGATGAGCCTGCAGAAATTGGGCATGAGTGTGCTCACTTTGAGAGCTGCGAAAACAGTTACTTCTGGTTAATTCTACTGGAAATTAGTCATTTATAAATACCATTTGTTATTTCAGCAAAACACAGCTGAAGTCCTTTGGTTTACTTACACTGGCAGGCCTCCTCCACCAGCTTGACTTTAGGTTTGAGCATGTCCAGCACTGATGAAGTCTCTTCGCACAACAACATGCACTCAATCCTCAACTGGTAACTGCGAGCAAGAGACAAACAAGCAAGAGCAAAGTGAGCACGGAGCCAATTATGGCTGCACTGGGATATGGGATATTGAGAATATCATGTACACAGCACGCACATAATTCATCAACAAGAACTAGAGATGAAAGTTACCATGGCACAGTGAGGAGGGAGGTGTAGAAGCGGTCAACGTTGGCCAACTTGTCTTTTTCTCCTTGGAAGGACTTCAAATTTTCAATCTATAGGCACAAGACAGTGACTCAGACATGCAATGTTATTTTCAAGTGTGCATCAATTTTTATTGTTGGAGTATGCAGAGGTGTTACCACGCACCTCGTGCTTCTCTGGTAGAAGCTTTAGAAGCTGTTTTAGCACCTCTACATCAAACCTAGACCGGTCCCCGTTCTGAATCATGGCTACAAAGTCTTCATTTTTGCTGGACAGAAAATGTAAAATATTTAGTTGTAAAAGAGCCCCCCCCCCCAATATATATATATATAAATATGTAAAAACAGATGTGAAAATAATGGGTAATATCTCACCATTTGAACTGCTTTAGAAATATGTTCAAATTCAAGTTTTTCTTTGGATCAATGAATGTAATCTGTTGAAAAAAAGGGGGGAGGAGGTAGAGAAGCATATTGATTATTCAGCTTCGATAATCGGGTGTGTTTGTTCTGAGCGCTACAGCTCTGAGGAGCAGTGTCGAGTGTTGACCAAGCACACCTCTTTAGGCTCCTTCTTGACAGGAGCAGCTGCCCCCTTGTCTTTGTGCTCGGTCACCGGGAGACAGAACAGCTGCTCAATACTGCTGTAGTCCGGCTCCCGAGGAGGCGGCTCTTTCTGAACCGAGGCCCACATGGAGTGACCATCTGCGTGTGTGTGGAGGAGAGAAAGTAACCTGTCATGAGCTCATGTGGCTCCGTTTTGTATCAACAACCCACCATGGCTGAAACTCATTTGAAAGCTCAGGGGGATCATGTGCGACATCCACATTAAACTTAAACACCAAATTATGAACTATTGGTCTGTTGACCTTTCAGATGGAGAGCCATTTGTGTGCACATGTCCCCTCTGCCGATGTCTTTCCATAATAATGTTCTATTTAAACAAATAAAATGTCCTGAAGGGGTGAATACTGTTTTGATGGATTGATATTACAGATGGAGGGAACCAGGGGCAGATTGTAAAAATGATTCAAGCCTTCACAAGAATGTTTTATCAACTCACCAGTAACAGCACGGAGTTTCTGCCAGTTGAGCTTTTTCATCCTCAGGGTGGGACATCGGTTTCCCTTTTTGGGTGCGCTGCACCCCAGGGAGTAGCTACTCTGAGCTATTATCATGCCCGGGACAAGAGGAGGTGGAGGTGGCATGCCGGGTAAGGGAGGTGGTGGTGGGGGTCCGCCGCCCATCCCTGGTAGGAATGGCGGAGGAGGTGGAGGCGGTATGCCTGGACCGCAGGGTAGTGGTGGCGGAGGGGGCATGCCTGGTAAGGGAGGAGGAGGAGGTGGCGGTGGAGGTCCGCCAAGCCCTCCAGGTAGCGGTGGTGGTGGAGGAGGTGGCGGACATTGGTTAGAAGGTTGGAGCAGGGGTCCGGTCATGCCAGGGGGTAGAGGAGGTGGCGGGGGTGGAGGTGGAGGAGCAGCAGCACAGAGTGGCTTCTGAGGGGACGTTGTGCCTTTGTCCGGCTTGTCTGTGTCCAGATCCGTCTGCACAGCCTTGTCCACTCTGACCACCTGCCCGTCCACTTCATGCTGACCTTCACAGCTCTTGCCTTTGGAAAACATCAGCCGCTGCATGATCTTCTCACAGGACTCCATCTGAGCTGGAGGACAAATCCAAACACACAGACACACACACACAGACACACACCGATGAACCACATCTGAAACGTCTTGTCTCACTAAAACAAAAGCTTTCAGCCGTACTGTCACCAGCTACAAACAGCAGCCACACATTAATCACTGAGGAGGCCATTATCTAGCCATTAGCCTCTTCAGAGAGTTGACCTGTGGTGAATGTATTGTTGCTTCAGTGCTGACTCACAGTCCTGGGCCAGCAGTATGGCTCTGTTAGTGATGGCCTCCAGAGCGAGCCAGATATCAGAGCGGCTCGGCCCCAGCACCAACAGTGTCTGCAGGATGGACAGCAGCTGGAGAGAGGCTGGTGAGCTGCTCACCTGCACACACGTGGACACATGCATATGTGCAAATCAGGGGGGCGTGTCATGTTTACATACCCAAGTCAAATAATGAGCCAGTGCCACAAAAAGTTAATCCAGATAATAAAAAGATATTTTTCTTCATTGTGGGACGTCTGTAACATAATGTTCATTCATTCAATCTCCAATCTCTCTCTTACTGGACCATCTTAGTTCTTCACAGGAGATGATGAAGCCAGTCAGACGGTCAGTTCTCACCTTGTTGAAGAGTGTAGTGAAGACCTCCAGGTGATTACTCATGTCAATGCCCCCATACAACCGCAGCAGCTCCTCCTCATCTTCAGCCATTGCCTCTTCAAAAGCTTCACATTGAATAATCAAGTCTTCATCCTCCTGCTCCCTGCACACCACACACACACACACACACACACACAGATCACTGATGGGGACACATCAACACATTTAAATGCTGTTTTCATTTGAGGAAAAAAAAAAGAAAACACAATGACAACCTTTGCACAAATTGCTGTCATTAATGGACACATTAATGACAGCAAGTCAATATTTATTTAATTTGTTACATAAAATCTGCTTTAAACATTCAGACAAAATCAAATGTGAACAACAGAAGGAAGGCTCACCTTAACTTTGGCAGAATATCAAGTAACTGAAGCCCTGCAAGACGCCAATAAAACACAGCTCTGAGTATGACAACACTTAATTATCAATTTTTAAGAAAGTTTATCCTAAAAAGGGGTCACACATGTCTTCACAGTGGCAAATAGTTAGGTGTAAGGAATTGGCAGGAGGTCACAGGTGAGCAATCACAAAAGAGGAGTGGCCAATCAGATAGCTAATTGATCCAAGGTGGTGGGTGGCGTTTTAGTGAATGTAGGAGGGTTTATATAGCTGCGACGATCATGAACTGTATTTGTCAAACTGTCTCAAGTGTGGCGCTCTGCAGGCGGCGTGGTCGCTCAGTGGTTAACACTTGTGCTTCATAGGGTAAAGGTGCTGGGTTCAAATCTGGGTGTTACAACAAGTCCAAAGTTAATACTAGTACATGCTGGTTATCTGCTGTAGAAAACACAGATGGATGGATGGTTAGTGAGTTTCATTCAGATGGCATATCACCAAAGTGTGATCTAATCAGTGTAGGAGTGATGACATTTTCTTTACACTTTCAGTAGTCACTAGTTATGTTGTAAAATGCATAGGTACACAATGCTGTCTACTCTTGAGGTTTGCTTAGTTCTCCAGCATTTAGTCACAGTGATAAGGAGGCCATTAGACCTATTCTTAGACAGACCCAGTGACAGAGATATTTGTAATAGAGCTCCTGCTGATGGCCTGCTTTCCCCTCCGCATTCACTTTCAGCGCAGAGGGGAGACACTGTTGTGCTGACAATTGACCACAGTGTGACCTTGCTCATGATGTGACTCCAGACTCCTGATTAATTGTGAAATGGCAGCTGAACAGAGAACTCACCGATAAACTCCTTTCTCATCTTATCTCTCTGCCTGAGGTCGTCTGTCCCGAAGATGAGGGCATTGATGACACTGAGGAGTGTGACCATGTAAGGGACGTTATCTGTCGCCTGCAACTCATTCATGATCACACTGAAGCGATACTGCTGCATCTTCACGCCCTGAAGGGCAAAACAAGGTCAGTGTAAGTAATCAACTCTGAATCATTGAGGAGGACTGTTCTGCAATGATTATAATGCTTGTACACACAACCTGCCACTAGAGGGCACTGTTACAGGCTTTATTATTTAGACTGATGATCTAAGATCATGTGTGGTAGATCCTACAGCAACCTAACTTTTCAAAAAATGACTTAAATTTCATCTACTTGCCTTGTAATGGTCCAGGGCATCCAGAGCCAGGCAGTGTCCATCTGTAGAGAACATGCTGAGGGCTGCAAGTAGCTCAAACACCTGCTTCTTCACCATGGTGTTGGAAGTGTCCAAGGCTGCGGAGCGTCATGATCGCACACATCAATACAGGTAGAATACTCATATTTCTCATATCATTCTTTTAAAGCAAACCTCTCTCTATCACTGTCTCTCTCTCTCTCTCTCTCTGACCACCCCTGTCTAGACACAAGCAGGATGCTTTTTTCCACTGCCTCAAGTCATCTTGAACTTTGCCCTCTGCAGATGTGGTGTTGTACCGGAGATAAACATGTACTGCGTGTGTGTGCGCGCGCGCGCATGCGTGTGTGTGTGTGTGTGTGTGTGTGTGTGTTTGAGAGTGGGGAAATCCAATATTCACAACACACTGTGACACAACAAATTTTAGGGATCTCCCGAAGCAGCCCTCAATGATTCATCCCTGTATGAAAAGCTGAGCACATGACAGGGAAATTCAGCTCAGCAGAATGAGTCACCATTGAATGAAGTGACCAACTTAACATAATACTACAAATGTTAAATAATGATATGTGAGAAGAGAGTGGTGCCTCAGGTCTGTAAATATATATTTTTATATTTTCTACTTTAATTAATGGGATGGTTTAAATATCTTGACCAAATTATCTACTGCAGTGGAACATTTATTTTCATAGGAAAGGCTAATCTGTAATCTGATTAGATGAACATTTCATGCAGGAAAATGCGCAGTGTGTGACAATGTTTCACGAGATGAAAAGGCTGATGCAAGTGTAGTCAACCTTGTGAAAGCTTCCGAATGTATCCCTCGTTCTCTATAATGAAGTGGATCCCCGCTGCGGAGTTCATGACAGCCCGGACGCAATTGACGCAGGTGAGCTGCAGAAGAGCATCGGCAATGCGGGAGCACCCGCGCCCCGAGAGCCGGTCCAGGGCCTCCAGGAGCAGATCCAGCCCACTTAGCTCCAAAAACTGGACCATCCATGTCTGGTTGCTGCCTTCCAGGCGTCGCTTCAGCCCAGAGTAGTTGACTACGGTGGGAACTTGCAGCAGTCTGATGCACAGCTCTGGATCAGCACTCTCCAGGTTGGCCTCCTGCGGGGTATCGGAGTCCTGCGAGGAGCCCAGGCGATCCCTGACCGCCGCCCACTTCTTTTTCATGTCTGACTTCCCTGACATGATGGGTGGTAGGACTGTGGAGGACAGAGGGAAACAGTGTTGTTGGTGCAGATGAAAAAAAGACATTTTCTAGAAACCATTATCCACAAAAAAAATTGTTCTAGTTTTTTTTTCTGCAGATGGTGTCTGTTTGCACCGATAACTAGTGGTTTTTGTCCAGCATACAGTGTCGTCATTGCTATCCATAGCACAGGAAGCACGCCATAACAACGCCTTATCAGAAAGGAAAACAGAATAGGAAACGATAGCTCTGCAGTTTGTGGATGAGTAAAAGATATGTCAGCAGTACAGTCATCACCAGCACTGCCAAACATTCCAACTTAATCCTGCTTGAAAGAGAAGAGAGGCTCACCGTCAGCTCATCAAAACTCTGCACAAAGACAGACTCTGTGATGTCTGGACAGTGTGTATCGTAATTTACCACATAAATAAACGCATCTCATGCTCATTACTGGGATATAAACACTAGACAACATGCACGTTCATAAGGCAATGTGAATACATAGAAATGACTGTAGAGAAAAATGTTTCACAAACATCATGGCAAGATGTTTCACATCGACATGAATGCACACATTGATCCCACAAGTGCCCTTTTTCTGGCATATCCCCAGAGCACGGCCCCCTCCTGTACCAACCTGCCTAACCCCAAAGCCTCTAAAAAATATTCCACTACTTTGTATTTAACAAGTACAAGCACATTCCCACACTCTAATAAAATCAACAGGATAAGGTTCGGACCAAAAAAGGGGAAAACTTTCTCTAAAAGGCTAAAAATACCTTGTCTCTGTACCACAGTTGTGATATTAGGTGGTCCGGCTTAGATGAACAGTGCGAGTGCTTCCTCTGTCTCCTGTTGTTGATTTCACACTTGGCAAGGATGAGGTATACAGATGCGGCATTGAGTGATGAGCAGGAACAAACACAATGCTCTGCAGAGAGCTCGTTCAGAGAGCCACGCTGGAAGGGATTACTGTATAACCTTTAGCATCCAGATGATGTAGAGCTCTACTCTACCCTACTCTACATGTTAGGAGCTCTGTAAACTAAAAACATGGTCAGAAGCTGTTTGCAAATGGCTTGTATCTCTCTCTTTTCAAAAGGTAATTTGCAGGGAACAGGAGGTAAAGACTAGTGAAGAAGTTGACAAATTGGACTATTAACTCAGTAGAGTGGTAGTAAAACAAGACTTTTTCTTTCTCCATATTCTGGCAAAGCATTCCTTAGCTCTGACTGCAGCATTTTAGTCCAGCTACCAGTGTGAGAGTGTTACCGTGGCAGCAAGCAGTCAGACAATGGGGTTTCTACAATAGGCCTTCTCAGTACTCTTCAAAGAGCTGTGTTCATTAGCCACAAAATGGATGGGGACGCTCCCTGCCCCCTTTCGGCCTGCTGAGCGTTATGGCCCACAGTCAATGAGACACATTCAGGAGTACATTGTACCGTCATGTTCAGTGTGAGCAGGGAACAAAAGTTGAGAGTTGATTCTTGTAATCTGAGGAATTTTCCCGGGGAATTAAGTTACTGTGGTTCATTGAACACTTTCCTGCAAAGTAATAGTTATGACTAACTCTTAAAAGAAGCTGGGGTGTGTGTGTGTGTGTGTGTGTGTGTGTGTCATGTGAGCTGTACTCCCGATTGGACAGACAGTAACTAAAGAGGGAAGGAAAGGACTTTCCTGGGACAGGAAACTTGGCACGAGATAAACATGCTGGTGTGACTGCTCATGTTCCTCTTTTGAAATTTCAGTTTCATTCCTGAAGATCACGGTTTTGACCCCAAGTAGGAGGACATATTGTTCATAAACAAACATCTGGCTTACATTTCAAACATCGAAGATCAGTAGTAATAGGAAAAACAACATTTGCATTTTCCTTTGTGCACTCCTCAAATATAAGCAACTGTCATTTGCCGACCTCGTCTGCCAGAGCTCCCACATGTACCACTAATAGCAGGCTGATTCACTGCACACAGGACAAACCTACTCAGTCAGTCCTCTGGTTAAGCCGCCCACACATCAGCCCACTGCTACTGTACTGCCTCAACACTAAGGAACACGCAGGAACATCTCCACTGATTTATTTCCTCCGACACATATGCAAAGCTTATGCAGGGGAATGCATGCACTTCCTCTACAAATGTGCCGTGTATGTCAGCAATAATTAAAGAGTAAATAAACAAAGATTAACTGGAAATTCATTGAATCTCAGTTTACACATTTTTCAAGTCATTTTGTTTTCCTCCACCTCCACTGATATACCAGGTTCAACAAGAAGATATGAGATGAGGATACTTATTGTGACATTAGATTTTAAACTATGAGTACTGACTTGATAACTGTGTTGATACACCTTAAACATATGTTAACATATGAATTATATGTTCCTTGGGGATTGAGCAATTTAAAAAAAAAAGAATAATTCAAGCTTTATCCACACCATAAAACCCTTAACAGTATTTGCAGAATGATTATACCCACAAAGAACATCTGGTACTCATTTAGCCAGTATCCTCCCCTCTCTGCTATTTAAGGGAGTAACCGACATGCCTTCAAAGTCTACAAACACATTTTGGAGTGGTCTAGTGTAGTTGTTTAGTTTCCGTTATTCCCAGACTGTCTGAGGATTTGTTCAGCAATTATTAGACTGATTTCACAAAACACAAGTGACAGCCCATATGGTCCAAACAGCCTTTAAACTGCAATCCTCAGTTCAAGAGTGTGTGTGTGTGTTTTTTTTTCCATCACTGCCTTCTTCTCTTCATTCTGTCCAAAGCAAGAACAAATTACCACCACCATAGAACCACAAGACTGTGGCACCAGGATACTGTTGTCAGTTTGCCAGTCTGCATGATGTATCAGCACACTGTGAGTGAGAAGGACATGAAATAGCGACATTTAACGGTGCAACATCGTTACTTTGCGCTGCGATTTTTCCCCCCACATACCAAGGGACGTAACTGGACGAGTGAAAGACAGCAAAAGAAAAACAAACAATAACGTTAATGACCATCGCGTCCGCACAGGTCACATCTTAACACACTGTTGCATCGTTTAAGAACACCTATCTGCAGAGTGTGAGACCTTACCTGGTTTTATTCCATAAATATACACTTGCAGATTCGCGTCCTCTGGTGTGTTTCAGGTGCGGGAGCGCTTCGCAGTCATGGAGAAGACATTTTATTCTGTCAACGAAAGATGAAACGGGAACCTGTGAAAATTGTGGCAGGTCAAACTGCTGTATGATATCGGGATGGCACTGCTTTCAAATTGCCACGGCCCCTGAGCTTTCATTCACTTGAGAGAGACTGCCAAACGTGCAGCATACTGAGCTAAAACATCCGGTCAAACCTTTCAGAATAAAATATATGCGTACGTTTTACATTTCCAATATGGGATCAAGACAGGATTTGGCCTTCGAAGATTTTTATTGTTTGTTCTTTAACTGTAAATACAGCCGGAAAAAAAAAACTGAATTGGAGGATTATGGTTGCAACTCAAAAACGAAAAAATATCTAACACATAGACCAAAGTTATGAAGAAAACTGGATTTAGCTAACTTGTTAGAAAAAAGAAAACAAAGTAGGTCTTATATTACCACGAGTTAAAGAACACCAGTGCCTATAGGACTAACAACGCACTACTTAATCAAGTAAACATATAAACACAAGTTCACAAGAAAAATGAAATAGCTACCGCAACATAGCTCAAATTAGCTACAAATGAGCACAACAGAAGCTAGCTAACGATGACCTAGAATATTGCCTTAGCCACATATTAGCCTCTGACAGTATGGCTAAATTAACCAACACCGCCTCTTAACATATTCAATTACATACATACATACATACATACATACTCAAAATGATTATAAATTAAGTACCAACAGAAAATTCTCCAATAAATAATCTGAATAGTAGGCTAAATAAAAGATGCCTGTCCACATTCACTTGGCCACATCTGACAAAACTGTAACAGTGTCAGGTAAACTGCAACTGAAACTGTAGGGTTTCAACAGACCGTTAAACTAAAACTGCTGGTGCAATAACTTCACTCATAGTTGAGTTATCCAAATACTTTTCATGACATACATATCACACACACACACACACACACACACACACACACACACACACACACACACACACACACACACACACACACACGGGTTTCAATTGTCAACATTTATTTTGAAGGCAGAACTGCCCTATTTCCGGTCTCAATGTACCTGTTGTTGTGTAGCTTGAAGCTGTTTGTGATGCTGAATTCAGCCAGTGGTTGGGCCCTCCTCCCACACTCCCCATCCCATCAGCTGGATCTGACCTCAGGCGGGGGAGCCGCTGCTGGAGGGAAAATAACTGGGTTCCCCCGATTCTCCAAGTTAGTGGAGGACTCTTGACTGTTCAAGTTTCCAGTCACAGTAACAGAGTACAATGCTATCATACTCTTGAGTTAATGTGGCTTCATCAGATAACTGCAGACATAGGCTAATGTCCAGCCCTCAGGGTGTGTATCCTGTAGTTCTGACTTCCTTGAAGAGCCTTCATGCTTCAACGTTTTATGCGTCATGTTAGACTTTTAGTTAGAAGCCAGTGTTTCCCAGTGGAATTACACACATTACTTTTGCCTTTACTTTTAAACCCAAATTGTGCTTTCAATGTTTCAGATCAGAATTCGGGGGGTTCAGATATAATCTGGAAACAGCTAGATATAAACGTAGTCTTTCCTCTATGATTTGTTTGCATAGCTTCAGGGTTTAGAAATGTAAAATCTTACACAAAGCTCATCTGATCCACAACTTTATTCATAAAAGATGGAGATAAAGACGCATAAGCCAACTTGTAGCCCATACAGTCCCAACAGAGCTTTGAAAAAATAATTCACTCATTTGTTAATGTCCCTTAATAAACCAAATGTTCCAGTAACTGAAATGGCTGAAAGAATACAAAGTTCATGAAACTCATATCTGCTTTGAGCCTGTTTGCATTTCTCCATAAGGACTGTGGAGATAAGCAAGTTGGGATGAAGGGACAGGAAATGTGTGGTTATTGTGGCTTTTACTAGTTTTTAGCATTTTTTGAATTTCTTTTATCAAAGTTTGACATATGCACAAATCTTCAACACACTTTTTAATTTAGTAAATGAATCAGACAGATCAATATCTCGTCAAGAATTCGTTAAGAATTTGTAGTACTGTGTTGTAGCTGTTATCATTCCCCATTTGGCTTGAAGCTAGTTAGCTTGCTGGAATTTCACTGCCAAAGAACAAAGGTAGCTAAGCAGTAATTGTATTGTTGCACTGCTTTAAGTCCCCTGTGCCTAAGTGTCATCACTATGATGACCGAACTGTTTTGCGCATTTAGAGGAAAATGGAGCTTCTCTCAGGAAGACCACTGAGAATCAGCAGCTCGGGTACTCAAGTAACAGCTACAAAGGATGTGCAGGCTAACAGACAATATGCAGCCTGTCACATTTAAAATCATCATTACACATGTAACTGTGTTGTTTAAACTGAGCAACGAAAGCTACTGAGCAAATATTATGAACTCATTATGAATAGGCCACAATCATCTAGCTGAGCTTGTTGAGCAGGATCACAAAACACATCAGCTGGAATCAATCTCTTAATCGTCAAAGTCAACATTGTTGTCCCATTTCCATTTATTGTTCTAAATACTGTACATGTAAACACAACATGGGATTTTTGGCCATGATTTTAGGCAGAAACTGACCCTTAACCCACTGGTCCTGCTGCAAAACCTTCTACCTCATTGGCGTCCATAGGGTGTGTCTTGTGCCAGTGTTTACAGGATTTAGTTCCACTGTGTTTGTCATAGTAATCCTGGAAGGATAGAAAGGTCATTACAAGTGACATTATGGGCTGAACAAAACACTCTTTAGGAGGCAGATCCTCAGGATGATCATTCTCAAAGAAGCTAATCTTTTTGAACAGGTGAAGGAGTTATCATAATTCCAAACTGTTAAGAAATAACGTGGCTTTTTCATATCCTCGAAATGTCAAGGAACTAGCTGTTCCTTGACATGTCAGGGCATGTTCCGGTTTTGCCATCACTAGACAGGCTGCAGCAATTATTTGATCAAAAACAAACGAAAACTTCCATGTAATACAAGATGTTGAAATGCTTGGGCCTGACTGGCTGTATACCACTGTTGTGTGGAGATAACAGCGGTGGAGAAAGATGTTCTGATCAGAATAACTGACTTTAATACAACATTTTTGATCCTTTCTTCAAATCCAAGCAATATTATTATAGTATTGAGCTGAAGTATTACTACTGCCTAAAATAGACCCTTCAACAGACTACACACCCCAGTTTGTGCACCATACTGGCCAGCAGCCTCAACCTGGTCTAGAGAGCCTTAATCAGCATTTAATGAGATGACATGCTCAAGGATGAAAATGTCTAAGGAGTAGCGCTGCATTTTCTGTTTACATTTTACAATTGTTACGAGGTGTCTGCAAGTTTAATGAAGGCAAACCAAAGACTTAAGCAGGCTAAACCATAGCTCAAATGTAAACAAAGATTGAGCCCTGCTGCCCAAAAATAAAAACAAAAGATGTAAACTGCTGTAATATTTCCTTCCCACTGGCACACTTGATGATATTGGCTTATCACACCTACATAAGTATGGGTGTTTGTGTGTTGCAGAAGTGCAATAATTACATGCAGAACGTAAATGCTGGAGAGACCCTTAGGTAATTTATTTTAGAGAATATGTGTCTGTTACATAATTTGTCCAACAGAGATCACTCTCTACTCATTACAACAATCTGATCCGCCAACGGTTAATGTCACAATGCTTTAATATGCAGATTTGAGGGAGCCTTAGTAAATGTGTTATCTAATGTGCATATGTTTTGGGAAAACATAATGAAGGCCAATGTCCTCAGGCTACTGTATATACAGTACATACTCCCTTTCCTTTTCTTTATAAACCCTTTTCCCAGCATTTTCTAGCTCATCCTGAGGGATCCTGACACGTTCCCAGACCAGCATAAAAAACAACAGTATTATGATGCTGTAAAAAGTTTACACTTCTTCATGTAGAGTTAGACATCTTTATTATTTCTTACAGTGCAAACAGAAAATTTCACTTTCTCCACCTCCTCCCTCTTCACCTCCTTGTCCTCCAGACTTGTGCTGTCTTCTGTTTGGGGTTTTCTTCTTGCAGAGCAGCCACGTCAGTGTGGTTCCTTTCGGCTTTTATTTTGTCCTCATAGTCCTGGCTGATCTGTCTTCCTGTGGTCTGGCGGGCCTCCTCCATCTGCCTCTCTGGAATTTTTTTCTGGTGTTGGATTTTCACTTCAAGGGCATTGTTGGGCTCTTTCTCACAATCCAGGAGTTTTTTTTTTTTTCTCCCTTTTGTTTTGCTTAATTTTTATCTTGTCTGCATCTAAATGCAACGCCCTATCATGTGCCAACTCCTTCCTTCCAACTCATTCAACAACTCTCAACAACTGTCTCACAAAGCATTTCCTTGTCTATGATTAACTTCTCTAGTTCCTCGGTGAGCTGAGCATGATCCTGGGAGCTCTGTCCTTCTGTGATCTGGCAGGCCTCCACCCGACTCCCAGGTTTTTCTTTAGGTGGGGTTGGATCTTCTCCTCACACTACAGGAATCCTTTCCCCTCCTTGTAGTTTTTCTGAGGGCTTACCCAGCCCTCCCAGAAAAGCAACAGCAACTCTTGTGCCCTCTCTAACAACTCTATTGCGTAATGGAGAATTTCATCACATGTGATCCTCTCCAGTTCTTCACTCTCATTCATCTCATACTTCCCTGACAGTTTTCTTTTGCCTGGTGAGGGTTGTTCCTTCTGCAGAATGTATTTCAAGTGAAAACCTATCCAGTCTGCCTGTAAATTCATCACCGTATCCTCTGTCCTCTCTAACAACTCTATAAAGCCACGGAGCTCTCCACCGTTCATGATGAACTTTGAATTCACCATTTTCAGTTCTTCCATGAGCTTCTCACCCTTAGGTTTTCCTTAGCTCACGTGGCGTTTTCATTCTCCAGAAGAATTTTTCAATCAATTTCTTTAAGCAACACTTCTTCTCCTCCTGCAGTTTGACCCTCACCATTCATAACACAAATTCCAAGAGCCAGAGCAACTATTTGTGTCCATGTTGTCTTATTGTGCTTGATTTTATCCTGAAAGATGCTATTAAATCCATCACGCACAGCACTTGTAGGACCAGTCAGTGAGACATGCTATGTCAACACCCTACTAACATGTCATGCTATG